TAAGCTGTAATCCCATCGATCTTACTTTACAAATCGATATTGTTTGAAAAGCACTAATATTGTTATTGAATACTAATCTAGAGTGTTCTGTGTATATAAACATATGTATATAATTGTAGAGCCAGAAGAGGAAATTATAGAAAAGGATATTCTTTGCTCAGTTATTTTTTGTTTAATACCATTAAAGCTCGTATTATATTAGATTTAAAGAAACTGACCAAGAGAAAGTATATACAATGTATATTGATGGAGGTTTTTGGTACCTTAAGTTTTAAGCATGTCGCCAACAAATAATTTAACGTAATCGGTCCGTTGTGCGTCCTTGTGGAAGTCATTCGATTGAGACTCTGTACTTTTACGTAGTCATTATCAGCACCTATTATTTCAATCTCTCCTATTCTATTTTTCATGTAATATCGTTGCATCTATTAGTCTTGTAATGCTAATTAATCGCAGTATGTGGGTACTTTTGTCTCTGAGGTTGGCTTGCAGTTGTATCACATGAAGTGACGTCATCAAAAGTTCGGTGTTCTCATATACTTTTTTTCAACTTTTAACCGAAAATGTTAACTAATACGAGTGCCAACCTACAAAAAATCGATTACTTCATATGATTTTTCAAAGAAATTACGAGATATGTATTTTTTTATAGATTTAGACACCGCAATAGAATCATCTGCGCCTTTTTTTCAAAATCATGTCTTCTGTAATACGACAAGTTACGTAGCAACGTTGCCGAGTTGGTTTTTTTCACCGATATTGATGACGAACTTTAAGTTAATATAAGTTAAATTAAACGCATGGAATTTGACGTCAAATGACTCTGGTTTTCTTGCCAAGAGGTTGATTGGTCTTTTTAAAGTTCTTGTTCCATATTAGTATTTTTATTAGATGTATTATACAGTGAAACGGTATTATTTACCGGATGACGTTCTGAACACAATTTATTACTGTTCATAATCATACTAATCAGTTATAATCACACTTCTTCGAAACTTGAGTTTTATAGCTTTCTTTGTTCTCTCCTATTTGTCGTCGTAGGCGTGTTAGTAGAGTTTTCTAGATGTTCTGGTGGACAGGTGTTGAATCACTCCTATTACACGTATTCTCTCTCAGTTGATCCGATAAACATAGCTTCTGTTATCGATCTCTACCTCTACTCACCCTGCTGCTACATTAGATTTTAAAACTGTCATCTTATCCTATCCCATCCTATTGTATGGTTGTGTGTAATTGCATGTGGTGTAATGCTATAGCTGAACTATTCTCCAGATTTCTTATCTTTTTCCGGTCAACTAATCTAGATTTCGCTGCTAGGTTTTTATGCTCGGGTAGTCTGACTGACTATACCTGTTCTACTACTTTGACCTTTGTATTTGACCTGACAAACATTGCAGAAAAAGTATAAGATAAACTAAATTGTTTTGTTTAATTGGCTCCACAGGACTGCTGCTTTAACCGACAAAGCTTGTTTCTAATTGAGTTTGTGGGGTGTTTGAATGCCAGCCACTTTTATCCCTGCCTTATTAAGAATTCTCCGCTGTAAGGTATCCGAGGTTCCTTCTTCTACTTCCCGAACGATGACAAATAGAAGAGAACAAAGAAAACTATAAAACTCAAGTTTTGAAGTCGTGTGATTATAATTGATGAAATGATTATGAACAGTAATAAATTGTGTTCAAAACTGTCATCCAGTGAATAATAATACTGTTTTGCTGACTGTGTGATATGTCTAATAAACAACCTATATGGAATTACTTACTACCACAGTGCCCAAGATTTACACATACATCAATAAAGTTCTTGTTCTCAAGTTAATCAAAACAGAAAACATCGGAAAATAAAACTGATTCTCCGACACATTCAACTAAAGTACTGATTCATCACTAGGTGTGCGGTGGGGTGGGTGTGCGGTAACCTACTCCATACTTCTGGTCTTAATTACTGCTGCTGAAGTGTCAGTCAAGTTTGGAATTCTGACCTTGAAGTTTCGGGGATTCGCTGTCTAGGTGTACTTTAAAGAATTTGGAAATCTCCATTTATACATTTGGAAGAAACAACAATTTCAGCGAAGAAATATGTATTCCTCTTCAACTAGCTCCTCATCATCGACTCTAGACTAATTTATAGTTTTTACGTCGAAATCCTGCAAATCCTGTGGTTATTTTAGTCCATAAGAATTACCAGTTTCAGATGTAGACGGGTGAATGAAGATGAGAGAATAAAAATTGTCGAAACAGCTAACTCGGAGATGCAAGCAACAAGATATCTGAAACCACATAGCCACAAATTTAGGTGTTCCTAAGATTGCAATTCACGGGAGATCTTAACAGTGAGATTTTACCACAACATCTGAAGAGATCCTTGGGAAAAGGGTTTAAAGCAGCTAATTTATGCTGTGTATTCACCAGCTAACCAATATTCAGTTCAAGAAATAAGGACAAACAGCCTTGTTTCGCCTCTTGCATGTGTATCTGCCAGTTTAACTGCTCGTGCGAAGCTGGTTACATTCAGCGTACTAACAGGCAGGTTCATTTCGAACTTTTTCCCACCCTGGTTTGCCAAAGGTCCAAATAAACTTATAGACAGCCCAATACTAGCTCATTTCGTCAATACTGGCTGGACATCAAGTTGGCTCTAACGATGCTTTTAAAGTTATCGATCCGTTTTCTCACAAAATAATATAATTTTCAAAATACCCTGCAATGACTGTGAGTGAGGTCAATTACATAGGTCAAACTAGTAGGTCGTGGGTAATCAGATTATCAGAACATAAGAATTTAGCTAAGGGAAGAATGATTGACCGTGAAAAGATAAGTAATTTAGAAAAAAGCTTAGCAACTGCACTTCACGCATTTACAAACAACCATACGATAGGGTGGGAGAGGGTTAAAATTCTAAAGAGTAACATAGGTAGGTGGAGAGATAGGTTGATTACGTAATCCTTGTTCATCGAGTCGACACCCAACACATGCAACAGAAATGACTCAATGCAAATACCAGAAATATGGAAGATATTATTACCGCCGGTCAAATCAGGGGAAGATAATAAATAATCATAAAATTCTATTTCAAGTCAAACACATCAAAACACTCGAACAAGTAACTTATTATGACTACAGAAACACTCCTCTTATTTCCCATCTGATTGTAATTGATCAATAACACTCGTTTTATTATTTCTGAATGTACATTATCTCATATTGAATTTTATTCCAATATCTAATCGATTCCACACATGTATATAAATGAAGGAAGGAAGTTGTGTGAGTAACTTGATATGATTATGAGTGGCAACAGTTTGTGCTCGAAACTTCGTCATCAGTTAATATTACTGTATAACAAACACTGTGTGATTTATCAAAATAAAATCTTATCTATAATGGAGTTATACTCTACCACCACAGTGCACAAGTTTTATACTTATATCAATAATTATGTTAAACTTCTTTATTCTTCTTGGTCATAGTAAGATTGTTTTTTTGTTTTAAATGTTCCACTTCACTTGATCTTCTCCCTCCTGATTGTTATCATTATTTTACTTTTAGTTTTTTGACATCACTTGACCTGCTTTTAAAATCCTAATACCAATTCATTTATTTAGTAGTCTTTTAAAGAGTTCTTAGAGTTCATCCACTTCAACTCTACCCCCTTAAACAAACCGAGTCCCTACAAATGAACTCTTGAAATACTAATCTGACGCTCGCTGGTGACTGGCTACAGGACAGAGTTTCCTGGAGTTCTACTGAGAAGTTGTGACCAGCCAGTGTCGTCCATCTAGTCCGGAGTGAGGACGAATGCTTGACGATGACATCGGCTGGTGTCAGTCACGCTAAAATCACGAATTGGTAGAAGCTAGAATTAATGGGCTGGCTGGCCAGTGATTTGGGTCCCAGTGGCTGAATTGCCTGCGAGTAAGGTAGCCTTGTAACCGGAAGACCCTTGGTTCGAACCCTGTCGGTGGTTGATGCGTACTGATGAAGAGTCCCAAACTAGACTGACGAAACAGCTGTCTGGCAGTATCCCCTGCAGGTTTTCTGATGGTTCTCTAACTGATGTCAACTCATGATGAAGTCCTCCAACCAGTCAGACAAAAATCCCTACAAACCAATACTTGAATTCCATCAGCCAAGTTGGCGAGTCTACATCAAACGAAGAACTACATACATGAAACGAGTATTCAATCCAAATAGCCATGGCAGTCCTACAGGAGTTCAGTCACGAGCCCGAATACCTCAGCCGTAACGCCTCTCACTGCAGCACTAAGTGACATGGATTCGGATCTCAGAAGGGAAGTGAGTTTCTTCAAGGCAGTTGCAGATACGCCTTTCTGACTGGTGAGTGCCAACAAAAACACAAAACCTAGATCCAAAGCTTCCTGTGGTCGATTGCCTTCAACCATCGAATAGTAACAATTTAGAATACATCATTATTTACCATGGTGGGCTTATTTCACAAATGATTGATAGAATTCAACCTGCACTAACACCAAGGTCTAGCTAGACTCATGACACTAATTGCATTACCTAGTTTGTTTGTTTTTTCCTTCACTTTCCCCAGTGGAACATAGGGCTTCAAGCTAATGGCTTGAAGTTTCTGTAGCAATGTTTATTTTACAGGATGGGGTTGCTAGTCTCATGCCCAACCTTTCCTCTTCATCAGCATTATTTCTGGCTTAGCGAGGTAAAGGAGTGCGTCGGTGGCCGGGGATCGAACCCCGGACCATGTGCATGGTCGGAGAGCGTCCTAACCGCTACGCCACCGACACTACCTAGTATTCAAGTCAAAGAAATCCAAAAGTTGAGCGTAGTTCTCACAGAAGTGGCGGTGATTTCGCAACCAACTTGAAGCGTTATTCACAGAAGAAAATGACACTGTCAAGAAAGATCGAATAATAAATAATCCTGTGCACTGGAGAAACAAAACACAAAGCAAAATTCGAAACTGATGATTTCATGCAAAGTTATCGATTTGAAACTTCTTTTTTTGTTAGAACTTACCGTTTTTGGATTAGTCAGTAGGGTAGCCAACATGAGTATATGAAGTATAATAAACACTGTGATGGCGACTTCATACTGTGAAAAAAAAGAATAACATAATATTATATCATATTTATTATACATGTCCAAACCAAGTTCACTTTTAACAGTTTGAAAAAATTTAGGCATTGGGTATATGGTATTCATTATAACAGAGGTTGCTTTTTGTATTTCCCATGCGTCAGACAGTGGGAAACGAGAAGACAGGGATATCCTGGACCGACGTGAAGAACCTAGAAGACCTGGATTTCGCAGATGATTTATGTTTGATGGCACACAAAATCGAAGACTTACAAGCGAAAACCGACAAACTGGTCGAAGAAGCAGCAAAGACAGGACTGCAGGTGAACATAGACAAGATGGAGGTTATGAAAATAACCAACCAACCAACAACAACAACAACAGCAGCAGCAACATACAGTGCCAATCACCATCAACGGGAGAGATTTGAAAGAGGTTACTTCGTTCACTTATCCAAGGAGCATTGTCTCAACTACAGGAGGAACGGACGAGGGAGGATGTCAAATCGAGAATCGGGAAGGCGAGAAACACATTCATCAACCTGAAACCAATCTGGAAATCTTCGTCACTCCACTCAGCATCAACAACAAAATTCGGATTTTCAATACAAACGTCAAGTCAGTCAGTTCTTCTATACGGATCAGAAACTTGGTGGGTCGCAAAGAATATTTCCAACAGCCTGTTGCAGACATTTATCAACAACTGTCTTCGTTCTATACTCGAGATCAGATGGCCGCCGGAAAGAATCACTAACAAGAAACTATAGGAACAAACAAAACAAGAACCAATCGCTCAACAAATATGCAGGAGAAAGTGGAGATGGATTGTACACTCGCTAAGGAGGCCGCTGGGTGAAATCGCTCGTCAGGCCCTCGAGTGGAACCCGAAAGGGAAGCGGCGAGTGGGACGTCCAAGGGTGACATGGAGGAGATCGTGTGATGAGGAACTGAAACAGTATGGATTAACATGGATGCAGGTGAAAAGTACAGCACAAGACACAAGCAAGTGGAGGCGTGCATTTGAAGCCCTATGTTCCACTAGGAACCCAAGGGAACAATAATAATAATGAATGAAAACAAACTCGTACCCAGGACCTTCTGGTTACAAGGCCAACGAGCCATCTCGTAGACCATTCTTCAGCCACTAGGAACCGACCCGATCCAATGGCCAACCCTTGAAATCCAACTTCTGCCAATTCACAATATAGCGCGACTGGCACTAGCCAGTCTTCAGTGGCGACTATTTATCCTCACACCCAATCTGCTGCACTCTACTGGTCACGATTTCCCACTAGAATGCCAGGTAACTACCTACCTGAATAGGGCCAGTCGTTAGCGAGCATTTCATTGATTTTGAGTATTGGTTTGTAGGGATTTGATCGATTGGTTACAGGATTCATTTACGAGCTGACATCGGCTAGGGAACCATTGGAAAACCTCCAGGGAGTACTGGACAGCCAGCTGTTTCATCAGCCTAGTTTGATACTCTTCAGCAAGACGCACCCACCGGGGTTCAAACCCTGGACCTTTCGGTTAGAAGGCGAGCTTGTAGACCATTCATCAGCCACCTGGACTCGACCCGATCCAATGGCCAGCCCATGAATTCCAACTTCTGCCAATTCATGACATAGCTTGACCACCATCCATTGTCTTCGGTTAGTATTTGTCCTCACATCCGACCTGCTTTAACCTACTGGTCACGACCTCCCACTATAACCACAGACTACTACCTACGTAAATAGGGACAGTTGCTTTGGAGATGGCGCGTGCGGACAAATACTCGCCAAAGATATTGTTAAGTGGTCGCGCTATGTCATGAATTGGCAGAAGTTGGAATTTATGGGCTGGACATTGGATCGGGTCCCAGTGGTTGATGAATGGTCAACGAGCTCGCTAGCCTTGCAACCGGAAGGTCCTGGGTTCGAACCCCTGTGGTGGTTGCCTGCTGATGAAGAGTCCAAAACTAGGCTGACGAAACAGCTGTCTGACAGTACTCCCAGTTGGTCTTCCAATGGTTCTCTAACCGATGTCAACTCACGATGAAATCCTGTAACCAATCAATCAAATCCCTACAAACCAATACTTGAAAAGTTTATTGTAATAATCCCACAGACGGATGGTGCAGAATTAACTACTGGATGACAATGTTTCGAGAATAAGTTATTAGTGCTCATAATCATATGAATTTTTGCTCACACGGTTTCACAATTTGTCTTATATATATTTTCTCTCTATTCTGTCTCTGCCTCTATCTTTCCTTTGTTGTTTGTTGCGAGATTCCATATCTCCGTTATAGGCTATGCTTTGCGTTATTCCGATTGCAAGTTTGCGGTGTTGAATCGATTGAAAAAGAGCTTCAGTCAGTGATTAACCTCTCTCTCACTCTACCTAACTATATTACATTTTAATACTCTCACCCTGTCCCACCCTACTATGTGATGATTACATGCAGCAAGTGAATGTATTGTAGTGGCTGAGCTTCTTTCTAGGTTATTTAACTTAGCCGCGTCAATTATTCTAGATCTAGCTAGTACATTTTACATGTTCTTTGGAATTCCTGAATGTGATGAACTGGAACATGCGGACGACTGTTGAGTAGGGAGCAGATGGTCATACCTTGGAATTGACTAGAAGACCCTAAAAGATACGCAATTCACAGATGATTTAAATCTAATGTCGAACAAACTCAGAGGTCTACAGGGAAAAAGCACCAAGTTGACAGAACATGTAGTGGAAACAGGACTTCAAGTAAACATAGAGAAAACATAGAGGCGACAAAGATATATAATCATCGACAACAAGCACTAGTCACTGTCAGCAAGAGAGATCTTTTAGAAATTACTTTGTATTTCCAAATGAATGAAAACCAAAACGATACTGTTTTTACTGACATTTCGCTATTTATACGCTTCTGCTAATAGCTTTGTCAAAGTACTATTAAACCAGAATTTACGAAATCCACTCAGCTAATATATAACAACTCAATCATCGTTCCTCAGCATGGGGGAATTTTTACCTATGTCAAGTTGGCCATTTGTAAGAGTAACAAATCCAAGTGCAGATTGTTGAATTTGTTAAGTGTGCAAAATTATAAAAGTAGTGTTTGTTTACATTATGAAATCGCTTATCACACATTCGTGCTGATTTTGTCATTTCATGAGGGAAGCGGGTGTTGTTACCAGGTGAAATCCTGTTTTAGTCCGTCATTCCTATTCAATTCAGACAATTTGGATGCCATTTGATATGAATGGCTGGCTTCTGATGATGTGAGACGTTTTTTGTGATTTCCGGAATTTTTCTGCATTATTTTAATATTATCGAAATCAATCCTGTAACCTGATTCTGTAACATGTAGACGAGCTATGCCTGATGATTTTTCAAGCTTTTCTAGTTCAACTGGATTTGTCGGTGGTCAAACAGATGCTCTAATGTATTCATTTATTCTGATTTTGATTTCTCGAAATGTTTTTCCGGTGTATATCGCTTCAAGTTCCAAGCATTTTATTTTATAGACACAATTAGATAGAGAATCTTTAGTGATTTAGTCTTTTATGTCGACAAGGTTGTTTTACCGTGTGTCTCATGTTTCGAAGAAAACTCTGATGTCAACCTTATTGAGCACTCTTCTGATATCTTCTAACGTCTCTGACCTATATGGAATGACAGCTGTTGTTTTGCTTTATAGTCTCAAGCAAATATTATTCTCACATATATTTTCCCAGTTCAACACTGCATTAGCAACAGAATACTACGTATATCTGAACTTTCTGTTTCATGCCGTTTAATGTAAACCAAAATCAGACGCTCAATGATTGGTTAGAGAAAATAAAACTATCTATATAAATAGCGGTTTGGTCACTTGAAAATATTCCCTGGCTTCCGTGTCTTGCCTTCTGTCGTTACAAGTTTTTGAGGTAGTTGTGTTCTCTGAGCAGCTGGATGGTTTATTTGCGAAGCTTTCATTGCCCCCTACTAGGCAACATCCTCCGTGCATACTTCAATTCGATGAAGTGAGCTTTTAGATTTCTCCATATGTTTATTAGTCATCTCTCTTGGTGGTGGCCCTGAACGTGACTGGTTGTTTTTGTGTGTTTTCACACCCTCTAGGACACTTGTATTCGTACTGGTGTTGATTGTTTCCTTGACTTTAACTTTAACCCTTTGTGTGTGAGAATTCTTCTTATGGATTGATAAATTTTGTCTATTGATTGACGTTTCACTGGAATACGAGGCTTACAAAAAGTCTCTAGCATTTGTGGTGTTCCCTCTTTCTAATATTTGAACGTTGGTTGTACCAGTCGAATTGATGTCCGTAGTTGTCTGTATGCAGTCAGGAGATATGAAGGAGTGGATTTCATGTCTTTTGATGGCTAGCTCGTGATCATGGATGTTAAGACGAAGAGGAGGGAACATCCACTTTGTCTATGTAGTATTTTTCGCAGTTGTTACGATTTATTCTGTAGACGATATTGGTCTTATTTTCTTTCATTGTTGAGTCTTTTGGTTGACATAAAGATGAGTGGAGTGATTTTGTTGGTTTCTGTGTGACATCAATTCCTAAAGCTTTGAAGATGGTTGCGGTGATTTCTGAGATGTCCTTTATATATGGTAAGTCAGGGAAACAACCAGCTCCAATACAAGTAGCCTAGAGGGTGTGAAAACACACCAAAACAACCAACCACGTCCAAAGTCACCAACCAAGACAGGTGACTAATAAACTCGCGGAGAAATCTAAAAAGCTCACTTCATCGAATTGAAGTATTCACTGAAGATGTTGCTTAGTAGGAGGCAATGAAATCTTCACAAATAAACCATCCAGCTAGCTAGCTCAGAGAACACAACAACTGCATCAAAATCATCCACCTGAGCTACAAATCTTCTCCATCACGTGTTACAGGTTTACTATTTTAATTATTATTATTAATTATTATTATTCTCATCAACTCTCTGTCTCCATGCCTGTCAACTCTCAGTCAGACTGTTCCATATTAAATAACTTTCTCTCGGAAATTAGTC